GAGTTACCGGCCCGCGCCCGCCGCCTGCAGCTCCGGGCCCTGCGCAGTAGGCTCGCCGGCTCCGCCCGGGGTCGCTGGATGCGGGGCCGCGGACTTTCTCTGCTGGAGCCCGGGCGCCAGTTTGGCGACACTGACGGCTACGTGCAGCGTTGCGTTCCCTCGGTGCCGGCGACAGTGACATCGCCGCCCCGCTCGGGACCCCTTCTCTGTGGTGCAGCGTCGCGGCGGAGGTCGCGTCCGGGCCCGGGCGAGCGCGGCCGGTTCGCCGCTGAGCAGCTTGGCAGTTACGGCTGGCTCGACTTCCCGGAGTGTGCAATAGGCGTGCAGTGGCACGCGCGACGCGCCTAGCCTGCTGGACCCACGGCGAGCGAGCGAGCGTCGGTCCCCGCTCCTCCCAGCCCGCCTTCCGCTGTAAGTGCTGCGTTGAACCTCCTGTTAGTGTGATTGTGTTGTATGCCTGGCGCGTTGCTTGTGGAACTCACTCATGCTATGTCGTGATAGGTGTCATTTTTATGTTATTGCGGTGTTTTATCAAATTCTTGTCAGTGATGAGCGTGTGAGTACAGTGGTCAGATATAACATGACGGCATCTTAGCCCAGGTGCAGAATTACATTTAAACTAACATAAAAAATGGAATAAAATATCTTAACCAGATATTAAAGATTAAAGCTGATTAAGGGGAAAAAAAAACTTTCATTACAGCTGCGAGATTTTGGTGATTCACTACCATGTTATTATTTGCCCACTTCCCGCTGTGTATCTATGACAGCCTTGTCTCAGGCTGTCAGTACTCCTCTAGCTGTGTTAGAGAGGTCTGTCAGACCTGGTGATGGTGTGACTTTGTTTTTCAAGTTGGATGGTTGTTAGGGGAAACAAAGTAATGGTTGTTAGGGGAAACGAAACATCAAAGGGGGATAACTAAAAACGAATTGAAAAATTTTAAGAGTTCAAGACAAGGAAGTCACATTGCAGTTTTCATGCTATCCAAAATGAATCATAGGGTTAGTTACAGATAGGAACATATGCCAAGTGTGGTGGCACATGCCTGCCATTCCGCCAGTTGGGAGGCTGGGGCAGGAGGACCACTGTGAGTTTAAGGTCGGCCTGAGCTCGGTAGTGGGTTCAGAGCCAACCTAAACGACATAGCAAGGAGACCCTGCCCCACAAAAAAGGTATTTATTACAGCAATACAGTGATTTCCACATGAATGAAAATACTAATACATTTATAATGTGAACAGAGAAATGGGAAATTAGTATGTAAGAGAAGTGCAAACGAAACAAAATTGAGCCCTGAACCAATGGAGATAATGTAAGAAACAGAAGGAAATATCAAGGTAAACATTAGTACTCTCAAATTTGGTAGGGTATCCTGCCTATTGAGCACACGTAGGCTGCTATTAAAAAACAAACAAACAAACAAAAAACAGTTCTTGAATTTTAAAACACAGAAAGTAGGAAAGAATAACCATTACATACAGAATAGATCCAGAGAGCCAATGCACATCTGCTAGTACACTCAGGAATGAATTCGAAGAGAAGAAATAACTACAGAGATAGGAATAACCAGGCCACACTTTAGGTCACCTGAGCCAGAGAGACACGTGTGAGTCAGGGCACAAATTATTGGCGAGTAGAGCTCCATCCTTCTCTCTAGCCTATTTCTTCCTACTGCAGTGGGGATGGTCAGGAAGGGTAGGGTCTTTGCAGTGGTGGAAAGATGTGTGGGCTGTGCTAGCAGCTCCTGTTCCCAACTTTCCTCTCCTATCAATTCACAACACATGCCACAATTCCCATTTCTACTTCACATTGGAATAGACAGTTAACGGCCCGGGGAGATGGCTCATTAGAATAAGCGCTTGCCTGGCAAGCGCAAGGGCATGAGTTCAATCCCTGGTTCCGCAAAAAAAAGAAAAAAGAAATAGTTAAAATACCGTATCAAGAAAACAAGGACTTTTCTCTCAGCAAAATTATATGAATGGAATAAATACATGAGAATCTTAGAAGAATAGACACACATTTAGATACATTCTTCCGGCATTTGTTACTAGAATTTGTTTTTTTTTTTTTTTTTTTAATTTTATTTATGTGGAGGGGGTGGTGTGTGTGTGTGTGGCCAGCTCAGCCCACCAGGGGGCGGGGCTGGCTGGCATGTGGCGCTGGGGGATCGAACCGCGGTCCCTGATGCTTTGCTAAGCTTGTTCTAAGTAGGTGCTTTAGACCACTGAGCCATCTCTCCAGCCCTGTTACTAGAATTTGGATCAACAATGTCCTTCACAAGGGTCATGTGCTCAAGCAGGGGCTTTTGGAAGGTGATTGCATCATGCGGGGGATAAACCCCTGACTGCGTGGTCCACTGATAAGTTAACAGTGGAATGTGCCGCTTGGCAGTGGGGCCAGGTTGGAGAGAATGGGGGCCTGGGGGCCTGACCTGGATGGTATCTTGTCCTTGGTCCCTCCCTCTCTCTGGCTTTCTTCCTGTGCCTTGCTTCCTGGCTGCAGGAGATGAGTTTTCCTCTGCAGAGTTTCCTATGTTTCTGCCTTGGAGTTAGCCAGCCATGGGCTGAACCCTCTGAAACTGTGAGCCAAAATAAACCTTTCTCCTTTAAGTTATGTATGTTCCATATGTAGGTAACAGCAATGAAAAACTCACTAGTGGAGTGGGTAAGTATATAATCTCATAAGCTTCCAAAGAGAAATGTATGTGTATTTATTTATACAGGAATGGAAGTCAGACTTCTGATTAGAGTTCTGATTTAAAATGGAGTATTAGCCTTGCGGTTGGCAAGTGCGGCATCCTAAGTTTGGTTCATGGTACCCAAAAAAGAAAAAATGGAGTATTAGATCATAGTGGAGCTGTATTTTAAAAGTGTCTGTGGAACTTATTTTGAGCTCAGAATCTTATCCCTAATCAAATTGTCATTCAAACTGAGAGGCAAAATAAGGCCATTGTCATCTATACCCACTAGAAACACCCTGGGATGTACTATTAAAAAAAAAAAAAGGAAAAGAAAAGAAAGAAAAAAAATTAAGAAAAGTATATGGGATTTAAAGAAAGCAAAAACATTTCCCAACTTGTAGTCATGGATAACTATAGCTAAGAAATTTAAGGCAATGTTAAGGAAGGATTATAAGACAGAGCAGTAAAATTTCAAAGTCTTTAATAATCTGGAGCAAACATGCAATGTGATTTTAAAGTTGGTTGGTGTGGTAGTCAGCTTCCTGTTGGTGTGTCACTGTGACACAATACTGAAGTGGTCAGCTTGGTGGAGGAAAGGGCTGCTTTGACTTCTTGCTATATGGGCTTCAGGCCATGGCTGGCTGGCCTGCTGCTTTCAGATCTGCACAGAGGCAGCACATCGTGGCACTCTGCAGAGAAGGCTGCTCACTTGGTGCCAGAGGAAATCTAGAGACAGGAGGGGCTGGACCTGTATCCCTGAAGGGTTCTCGAAGATAAAAATAACCTCGCTTCCTCCTGCAGCCTCCACCACCTGGCTCCCATTAGCACCAGGGGCTGGGGAACACACTTCAGTACTTGAGCTTCTGGGAACATTTGAGCTGTAGACCTTAGCACTCAGGAAGGTGGGAGGCGAGTACAGTATATTGCAAGCTCTTCCTAAGCAGAGCAAGCTCTAGGCAAGAACTAAGTATGTGCTTGGTGCTCTCTTGTAGGCCGGGTGAGCAGCAGTCCCATTTCCTGCTCAGAGTCAGCACCACAGCCCTAAGGCTATCATGGTGAGGTGTGTGGTGGTACAGTGGATCTGGAGGGACCTGAGCCTTGTGGACAGGAGGGAGGTGACACTGTGGGCTTCTTTATCCTTTGTTTTGTGAGGTTTTAAAAGTACAAGTTTTTTAGCCAGGCATTGTGGCACAACCCTGTAGGGTCTCTGTCAGCAATAAGGCCCGCCTTCTGCCTCCTAAACATTCCATGGTGCTATGGTTTGTTAGTTATTCCATCTTTCCCCTACCAATGGACACTTTGGTAAAAACAGTGGTTGCTTTGTTTTTATTATGGTGTTACATATGACACCAATAAACATACTTGTGACATTATATATTTGCGTGGATATTTCTGTAGTAAAGAATCTTTAAAGTTATAAATTACTGGACTGAGTAATATATGTACTTAAATAAAATTTGAGTACATATACATCTTGAAAAGTGTATGTGTTTAATTTGTCTTTAACTAAAGGAATCATAGCATCTTGGAAGGAAAGTTAACTCCCCAGGCAAGCTGCCTCATTTGGGAAGTCCAGAGACATGAAATCTTGTGCCTATAGTTACATGGTTATTAAGTAGCTAACTTGACTCTAAAAAAAGGAGAGGGAGGGAGAGGGGAATGGGAACGGGGAAGGGAAGGAAGAGGAGGAAGAGGAAAGAAAAACTTTAGGAAGTTTATAAACATGTTTATTTCACTTAAAATGCTTACCTTGTCAGATTAAAAAATTAGAGGCAAACTGGTTTACATTTTTAAAATAGATCATACCCTAGTTCCATTAAAAACAATGTAAATACAGGCAGTCTGTATATCTTTTTTTTTCAAATTTTTATTTATGTGTGTGTGTGTGTGTGTGTGTGTGTGTGTGGCCAGCTCAGCCCACCAGGGGGCAGGGCTGGCTGGCATGTGGTGCTGGGGGATTGAACTGTGGTCCCTGTGCTTTGCTAAGCTTGTTCTAAGTAGGTGCTTTAGACCACTGAGCCATCTCACCAGCCCCTAGTCTGTATATCTTGCTAGTGAATTCACATAGTACTTTTTTGGTACCAGGGATCGAACTCAGGACCTTGCTCTTACCAGGCAGGTGCTTATGCTGCTGAGCTGTCTCCTAGGCCCAACTTCACATAATACTTTAGTTCCTTGATCCTTTGATCTTATCCTTTCATTTCTTTTTCTTTTCTTTTCTTTTTTTTTTCTTTCTTTTCTTCTTTTTTTTTTTTTTTTTTTTTTTTTTTTCCTGTTTGGCTACTGACCACAGGAGTGGGGTGGGGTTGGAGCTTAGAAAATAATGATAAGGCTATTTGATGTGATTTGTTATTGCTCACCTTGTGATCCACTCCCATTACTCCTGACATGTGAAGATTGAGATTTAAGCCCCTGAGCTTTAGGGCTTTCAACCAGCATTTTCTGCACAGTAGTTTTATACTGATATGGATGGGACAGGCGCTCCAAGTGAACAAGTCACTGTGTAAATACAAGACAAGATGGGAAAGTTCTGTCCATCCCATGTAAAAAGATACAGTGTGTCCTCAGGCATACGGAGCTACTGTGGAGATGTCCTGGAGTGAGACCCCAGAAAGGCAACTCCAGCCTTAAATCCGTAAAAGCATTCAGCAGTGTGCCAGCAGCTTTGAAAGAAAAAAAGTTCCATTTCAAAGTAATCTTGCAAATGGAGAATTTGTCCCGCAAAGATCCT